GGGAAGAGAAACGCTTGCTGAGAAATTAAGGGATAATTTGCAAAATACTTCAAGACATTGTCAGTCTCCGTATGCTTGCTGGAGATGAATACAATACTACAGTCTAATTGAGAAGTAGTTGGAATTAGAAAATGGTTTATCAAACATGAAATATGTCTCCACTCATAGGATCACTAGAATTTAAAATATTGTTTTACTGGTCGCCCAGCGTATTCTGAAATAATCATGATATTTTAGGGGAAATAATTTGCAAAATAATATTGCAAATTCTTTTGTCGGCTGAATAGGCGAATTTAATGTCAGGCTGATGGCTTTTCAATTTTTTTTTTCGAGTTACGATGAGCAGTAAGTGGAAATTAATTGTCGATTTGACCTTAGTTTTTTTTTTGTTTCTGGAAAAGATTGCATTTTTATGAAATAAATTTTAATAATAAAAACGGAATGTGTATGCAATTATAATAACGAGATGAAAGGCATGTTTTTCTGTTTGAATGAAGTAGAAGATGGGAGTGGCGTCTGGTAAATTTTTCGATATCTTGAAAAGTTCCTATAATAATTAATGTTAGAGGTGATCGACAAAATATGAAACTTCCAACGGCGATTTGAAATTTAAAGTCAAACTTTTCATTTCAAAAAAGTGTAGAGAGTGTGAAAGTATTAAATGATATATTCATTTACTAAGCAAATTGAATCGAAAAATCGTGTGCATGCCATTTGGATTTAATTGATTCTAACTAACTTTTAAAGAAAGGAAGCTTTCGAAGTGATGTTTTGTTGCGAGATATTTTTCAATTCATTTATCATTTTTAATCGATGAAGAATTGTAGTATCTCCTCCTATAGAACTTTATATCGAATTTGGTAAGGATACATACAAAAACTGATTAATTAAACGATAAATTGTTGAACTCTTCATTTCCTAATGCTCTATGCAAGATCGTGATATACGCGACTAATTGCTTTTTATATTTAAAACGTTTGGACGTTGACGTCTCCTTAGGTTAACAACAAAGCATCAGTTCGAAGTTGTATAGTGATTGTTCAAATCCATTTGAAGTGAGAGGTTGTTCAATGCTTTGAGTTATATTTTTCCTTCAAGGGAGCATAAGAGTTTCATTACGAGAATGAGATCATAGTTGGCGGATCATCGATGTTTACCAATGACTGCAGCAGATGAGTTGTGCACAGGAGGCAGTGAGAAAACACCACATCAGCAAAGGTTTAGAGGGCGAAGGAATTTATGTCTATTTTGTTTACTCTTAGTTCTAACAGTGTCATAATTCATTGTTTTGTTCCAAAGGTGCACTGTTTGGTTGTTAAAAAATATAAAAGTTGTTTTGGCGTCGCCCTCTTTGCGTTTAATTTTAAACAGGTTGAAAAAAAGAAAGTACAGAAGAATTTGAAGCAAATGGATGTATGAATTAAGCATTTTGTGATTGATGTTGCTTAAATTTAAGGGATTTTTGATTCGGGAGCTCGAAAGCAGCGAAGAACATGGTTTTATCCTTGAAGGAAGATAGGTAGCTTGGGGTGAAAGAATCTGGCATGATGGCAGTGATTAGTGCGTATCTAAATAGCATCTGAAACGTATTGAATTATATTAAACATTTGACGCCTCGGTGAAAAGGGTAAAAGTAAAATATTTCCAGTGATAAAAATATAAATTTAGCTTACTACTCATGAAGTTTTTATCGAATTTCAGAAACGCGACCACCGGTAAAATATGTATTGGATGTGACGATTGCTTATCCACACAAAATGCCGCTTTCACTTGTTACACTGAGCTTTGGCACTCGTGAACCATGCGATATTGGTGTACATTATAAAATTTATGATGCTAGTGATGTGAGTGTTACCAGCTTTTCAAGTTACTATAATTATTACCTATATTATTCTTAATCTATTCTTCCTTTAATTCTTTCTTTGATATTGCTTTCTTCAATTCTCTATGATCGTGGGATATAAATCTTTGCTGTGCTGCTCGCCTTATAAAGTCCTTATTTTTTGTATAAGAGATTTAAATAACTGGATAATTACTACCAAAAGTGATTTTTACAAGCAAAACATCCAGAGAAAAGATGGGTTTTTTGCTTTCAAAGTAGTTTGTTTTAATTTCCGATGAAAGATGAAGATTTTGAGAACGCAACCGAATTTATATATGTAATCTTACCTCTAAGTGGATATTACTAAATGATGAAACGAAAAGGAAAGGGCATCACTAAAAAGGGACATTTCATTTTCTTACTCAAAGACAAAGATTAGTTAATATAAGGTGGACAGGTTAATTGGAAATTCTTTTTTATGGAGACTGATTCTGTGTTTGGATGAATGATATTCTTTCATCATCACTGCTTTATTTCGCTTTAAATCATCTTCAAATAGCAATGGAATAAATCAATTACTGATACAATGATGGCTAATGAATTATGCTAGTTTGGAATTTCTTTTGAACCGTGTGTTTTCGCAGATGAAGGAGAAAATAGAGCTTGAAGTTGTTCTTAGCCGGTTTTTCCAAAAATTTTCTAGTTAGCAAAATTAGTAATGACGTTGATGTGAAGCACCGATATAAGCAGTTGAATTCTGCTTATAATTTGAATTCATTTTGTATTATTTTTGCCACACTTGTCACAGTTAAAGTTAAATCAGGGTTTCGACTTCAGGTACCGTTTGAAGATGAAGGGAAGTTGCGTGATTGGTTATACAGCGTTTACCAATACAAAGATAATATTCTTGGTACTTTTTTTTCTCATATTTCTTTGCATTTCCTAAATTGATATGAAGTACAGTACCAGCTCTCTTTCCATGAAAGCAGATGCAGTCATAGTAAATTCGTGCTTCATCAAAGGATACGACGTTCCGCGCCGGATACGATCAATTGTTTTACTCTGATCATAGATTACCCGCATAAAATCAAGTTTATTTTGCTAGTTAAGACGTGCAAGATCATAATGATAGTTGTAAATGGATATTCGAATTCAAAGTTCACTTGTAAAGTTTTCAAAAACTGAATTTCATTATGCGGATTTTCAGATCGGTACTACAAAGAAGGCGTTTTCGTACGTGGTGAGGAAGGCACTAGGGTATATTTTACGTGGTGGAGAATTGTCGGACAGTATATTTTCTGGTTAACATCGTTTTATGTGCAATATCGAATTTATTCATTCATATTACTTCATTTTCTACGAAGCATAGGTCTTATATCTTGAGACACTTATAATTTCTTATCTCTCGAAGTACTCGAAGTTTATGTTATTGTACATATCATTTGTACTGAGAGGGCATTGTTTTCTTTAAATATAAGATGAGGATTATGTTTTCCATGATCGCGAAGTAGACAGTTAGCATGAACTTTGGAATGCTTATATTTGGTCTCAGCTTTGTCTCTTTGTCCATAGCAGTCTAATTAGCGAACTATTCTCCTGCTGAATTATTTCCTAACTTTCAAATTTTTTAAGTTGTCATTTAATGTTTTAAGTCAATTTCAGTTTTATTTGCTTTAAAATTTTCGTCCTAATTAATTCACTTAGGATAACAAGCCTTTAGAAACTAATAATTTTGAATTTGTACTCTTTTATCAGTACCAGTCTTGAAGGTGTAGGCTTGCTTAAAGTTTGTTTATTTTGTTATCTGTAAATGAACGATTGTAATTTTTGATTGTAATTTGAACGATTGTAATTTTTTTTCTACTGTTGTTTTGATATTTGTTGAATTGTTGCAGTTAAGGCTAATGTAAGTATTGTATCTCTGATTATGTCGTTGAATTACCAAATGAACTTTCAAAGCTTGTTTGTATGGCGATGTTTGGAATATATAACATTAGGGAAAGTTAGGGAACAAGGGGAAACCAATTTTCCGGTATTTTAATGGAGAAATTCAGAAAAAAAGAAAAAATCCACATGCTAAATAGAAAAGAATATCAGGGGGAGACCGAATGCACCACTCAATTGGAGAAAATGAGCTGGTCCAATTGTAATAAAAGAAGTTCGAGGGAAAGGTCATATTTCTACAATTTTAGGATTCCAGCTATCAAACCTTTGCTTGAGTTCAAAAATCTTAGCTTATGGTCGTGTACAGTCTTTTTCAGATTAAATAAAGTATGTGTTAAAGAATTAGAGACAAAAACTATATCATCTACTTTATCATTTTGAACTGAGATTGAATTTTAACGAAATGCAGGTTTTCATTCATATCATACATCCCCCAATTAATTCATCAAGATATTTAAGGCTGTTTTATGAGGATAATCAGAAATGTTCTACCTCTGATATGTAAATCCTATTGGCCGGAAAAAGCAGTTCTGTTAATTGTGCGATTTATTTATGCTCGTCTGCTCTCTTTTGTTAGCAGTAATTCGGTTACTTTTTTTTTGGTATCTTTAGAACAACTTCATATCCTCATATTTATCATGATATGGAAGCATTCTGAAAAGAAATTTGCTGAGACATTATGGAACATATATATATAGCTTCTGGGTTTCAAAAATAAAATTCTCGTTTAATTTTACCAATTTAATTATTTATCGAATTATTTATCTCACTCGTTTCTCACAAATTTATCCAGTGTTAAATATATATTCATCGAGACTATTCCGGAAAAAAAACGGAAGCGAAATTCTACAATTAACATCTATCGCTTCCTTCATTTCCAAACTGTTACATTTTACTACCGCAAAGTATTCACAACTGAGGAAAAGTGAATCCAAACAGTAAAGTTATTTCTCATTTTGTTGGGGAGCACTCAAAATTTGAACTTTCTCAGTTGCTTTCCTTCGTCTTTATGTCCTTTAGCTATGAGGGTTCATTAATTCCTAAAAAGTCGGAAAGTTCGAATAACTAAAAAGAAAAAACAAGCAAATTTTCAAAAGAACCTAATTAATTCGCCTTCTTCATAACTGAAAAAATTTCCAATAAGACATTTCTTCTGCTTTATCTTTCAATAGAATTCACTCATTAAAATTATAAAAGTATTCAACAATAAATAATTCTCGGCATTTTTAATTTTTCTTACGAATAGTTATTAATCTAGAGAACGTGAAAAAATTAAAGTACAAAAATTAAAGAAATAAGAACAAAATTAAAAATTAAGAGCCTTCACTTTTTGTCATTGAGGACTTGTTATGATATCGTTAGAATGGCATTTTTTTTCCCCGTGATATTTTTCCTGAGGATTTTTTTTTCTGCTCTTTTTCCATAGAAAATGCTTATGGCATTAAATGCATCATACAAACATTTAACAAAATTATTTAGCACTAAGACTTTTAATACAATAAAGGATACAAAAAAGCCACTAGTTCAAATGGCATGACTAATTTTGAAGAAAAAAAGAAAAACATTTTTCAACAGAAACATCCATTTCCTGGACGATAATTCGAGGGCCATCAATAAGTTACCAACTTTATAGAGAAAAATGATAGCGAAAAAATCTTTCGTATTTGTGAAAGCTTTTCGAATTACCGTTAAGTTCTTCAATCTATTTCAAGTCTTAAATCAGTATGCAGTAAGTTACCATAGATTGGTTGTACCGACATAGGTGAAAATGAAATCTGCATATTACTCGTAGTTACTTAGGATGTTTTTCGAAGCAATCACAAAACTTACAAGTTGAATGAGCTATCAGTAGAACAAAACATATGAGATGAACCATCAGCAACGCAAAACGTACGACATGAAAACATTTTTGAGAGAAAACGTCACCGAAAATCGTCAAATCTCATTGTTTACTGGATATATCAAGCGTCCAATAGGTAAAAGTCCTGCGTGTTAAAACGTTTTACTAATTTTTTTGAATTTGTCGACAATCATCAAAGCATACAGCCATTCAGTTGTTTCCTGTTCCGGATTGTTTGACAAACTGATGTTATTTGCTATTCCTCAAGTAATCTCATCTTGATTTCATGTCGTTGGAAAAGCGCAAATTAATTGCTATTATCACAATATCAAATAGTTTAGCGATGACGAGGATATTTCTCGAAATCCTCGTTATGCAAATGAAACAAAGATTCATCATTGAATTCTATTCTTATAAGTTTAAGAACTGTTGTAAATTACAAGTCTTCGTTCAGGTTGTATGTGCCATAAATTTAGATAAATTTATTACTTCTGTAAAACGATTCAGATAGATCAAGTACCAATGCAAAGAATTTTGACATGACAATTCATGGCAATAAATCGTTTTGACTCGACTAACAGACTAATAAATTTATGAGATTTATTAAGTTTAGAAAAAAATCAACTTTTGTTTAATTTCAATTTTCATCATTTTTGTTCTAGATGCGTTTTTTTTTCAAATTTCTATAATTTTTTACTAAAGCAAAAGAAGCCATTCTTTCCATCCGAATCCCTTCATCTCTTTTCTTGCTAATTAAGTCTTTTTTTTGTGAATACTGAAATTCTCGATGGATGAATGTGCAGGAGTTTAATTTCATTCATTAGTTACGCTTTTCTATGAAATAGCTGGGTTATTTTCACACATTTTCTCGTGATATGGAATAAAATTCATGTTTTTGTGGTAATTAAGAGAAGTGCACAATGATACCTCTTGTTCCAAGGCCTCTTTAAAAATGAGATTATAATCCATCAATTTTTAAAGACTATAAGTGACTTGAAATATTGAGAGTCTATTAGGCAGAAAAAGGAAAGTATCTGTTTTTTATTCTAGAAATATCATGGTCGATATTGCTATCAATGTCATTTATGATTATAGCACGCTTGCAATCACATTCTTTGTAATTTTATTACAACAATTGCTAATTACTTAACTATTTCCATACCTGCCAAGGTATGGAGAGATAATGCTTTTCAAAATTAGCTTTTAATGAACTACACTACAGGTAGATTATGTAACGTTAATTTATCTTGCATTGTCATTGAAATCCAAATGGACTTACTGTGAGCAACATTGAGTATTCAAAGTTCCCATTCTTTATGAATAACCATTTTTTTTCCGAATGATTTATTGTTTTTGAAAGATGGGAAGAAATCAGTATTTTGACAGTTTAATGACTATTATTACGAGGTAGCAATATTGATTTATTTCCGATTTTTCTATACATTTACTGATTTAAATGACTTTGTTTATTTAAAAATTACAAATACATTGTCTGGCGTTTGAAAATAAATTTGCATATCATTAAAAAAAAAAAAGAAAAAAAAAACAAATTTCTATTGAACCAATAAGCGCTCAATCATTCATTTTTTCCACAGACTCCTTTTTTCCGCTTCATCCAACTGCTCCTTGACATGCTTAGAGTTTTATCTAATTGTAATAATTTATGATACAGGAAATATTTCTGAGTCATTGATTCCATTTGCATAATTTTTATCTAGACACGATAATCAAAAGTTCAGAAAGAAGTAATGATGAAAGTAGGCTTGAAATTAGCATAATATCAATTAATGGGTAAAAGTAAGAAAAAAAAGTCTGTGCTTCTTTTTCACACTAAAATTCATTGTTAAATATACTTGAAATTCATTTATTCATCATTCCTCAAATGGAATATATTAGGAAAAATTAATTTTAAATATGCATATTTTCTTATCCAATCTTCTTATGTTTGTTTGGTGCTTAGCAATAAAAGGGATGTGAAGAAGTGAGGAAAAAGATATCAACATTTGTTGTGTCGAAGAAGTGACCAACGATTTATGGCGGAAAAATGTGTTCGATTTTCTAATTCAAAAGAGAAAGGATTAAAATTTACAATGAACTTCAAAATAGATCATTTAACAATTTTTAAGTGATTTCAAATGAATGAAATGCTATGATAATGCTTCATTGCTGTTTGAAATTTTGATTTCGAATGAAATGGAATGTTTTTTGTGCGAGGTGAGAAAAAAGAAGAAATATTAACTTGAATGACACGTCTAGTTGAATAGTATATTGTAAAATGGTGTTTGGAAGTTAATAGTGCAAATCAATGATAATCGAAAAAATTCAATGCAATCGGAAAGATAAGATGATATAAATTATCATGAATGATTGACATGCGTATACATGACAATAATTACTAATGCCAATCCATTTTTTTTTAGAACACTTTGTCTCTGAAATCACAACAACTCTGTCATTTAGACAAAAAAAAAAAACGTTTAGAAAAGGGAGTTTTAAAAATGCCATTTGAAATTAATTCCATCTTTTGAAGACTTTTACTATCGTTATAAAAGATGACACGTCAAGTAGAGAAGTATATTATTGAGGAATGAAAAGAAGGGACACTGAGTTAGAAGATCTTTCATTTCTAAGCCTATGTGATATCATTCATCGGATCAAGTGATCTGTAGGTATATCTATCATCCAACAAACTTGAAATCCCTTGTTATATGCTTCGTTGACCATTTGTTTAATTAACCGGGAATCTTATCACATGATATTGTGACCTTTCACAGAATTATAATAAAAGAAGTTTTTGTGGAAAAAACAAAAAAGAAACGACCGCCCATATATAATGCAATTCGAAGTGCTTGCTAGAAGCACTCTTCCTGATAATTCCACTATCGTAGCTTTACAGCGCCTTTCCTTCTATTTCCGTTTTTATGAGTTTTTCAAAAATTTGCTATTAAGTCCAAATTAATTTGCCTAACCAAATTTATCCATTACTTTCTGATAA